AGTGGTGCACCAACTCCACCAACTTGAGATCCAACTCCTCCCACTTTACATATCCCTAAACCTACCCATTTTCACCCCCTGGATCCCATTTCCACACCTAAACCTACCCATCTCCACCCCCTGGATCCTATTTCCACCCCTAAACCTACCCAACTCCACCCCCTGGATCCCATTTCCACCCCTAAACCTACCCATCTCCACCCCCTGGATCCCTACAATTACACTAAAAGGCCTTTACTTGCCAAAAAAAATAATAAACTATCAATCAGACGATAGAATGCATGTAGTAGATTGTGCACAAGAGTTTTTCTGCAAAATTTTGATCATGTTGATCATTTAGTAACTTTACAAATTTGCATTATAGGGTTAAGGTCATTCGGTGTCATATAATTGTTCACACAGAGAATTTTTCTTTCAGTTAAGTGATTCAATTTAAGTATTTGACACAAACACACACTGAAAACAAATATTCCTACATAAAAGCCCTGAAAATTAATTCTAGAGTGTAAATATTGTAATAAAAAGTTCATTTCTGTCATTGCTGTTGACTTTGTCAGTAATGTATTTGGGTTGTGTATTCTATGCTGTAACTTTGATGCCCCAGAAAAGTGCACAAATGAATCCCAACAGCAAAGGAGAGTCGTTTTGAGAAGAATGGGCTCTGTGTGGAGCAGGTGATTGGAAGGCGCCCATCTCATCAATTCTACAATAGCTTTTTGCCTTTTTAGCTTTTTTCCCCCCTTACTACAGGCAGAAAGGTAGTGCGGCTGCTGATCCAAAAAGAGGGTTTGCTGAAAGCATTGCAGATTCTCCAGATGTTTCATCCACAAAAGCATCCTAATGTTACATCCTAAAACATATTTGCTTGTTAGATAACGACATGTTAAACAGAATTGACATGATGACTCATACAGTGCTTTTGATGCAGCAGCCAGATTCAGAGAGTACTCAGAGAGCGTTTTGCATCAAAGTCGTTGGGTCCAGGTTGAGCTGTAACCAAATAGTGAGTCATTTTGGTAAACAAGATTATGAAAGTGTAGGAAAGATTGTGTTAGAATATATGCTTGCATAGTTACATACACTGTACTTGTGTCTATGTATAGGTTCTGTAATCGGCTTATGAAAAGAACGGGAATTATTGTCAGAGGGTATCGCTGGCTACAGCGGCCTGTTCACTCCAGCCTTATCCGAAAATACATAAAGAACTTCTGGCAGTGAACTAATGTAATATAAAACGTGGCCACTAATTCTGGCTGATTGTAAATCCTTTTGAGTGACAGTGGGGGTCTATTTGAGCAGCTAATGTGTGTCCAGCTCATGCTTTGGTCTCTTGTGTTTGAACTGGACTGAGACTCCATTTCTGTCAAGTATAAATCAGCCGTAGAGATCTTTGCATGGAGACCACATTGTACCTTGGAGACTGAATTTGTGAAAAAGCGCAGTTTTGTCACTCTGCAGGGCAGCTAATTCTCACTGTTTGCTCAGCATTTCATTAAGAACTGAAATTATTTGTCTCCGACAGAAACCGGCAAGGGAGGTATTGGCCATCTCCTGTGACCTTTGACATATTTGGAAAATGTTATTGTTCAGAGGTAATTTATTGCCTTTA